CCACAGCCTAATGAGAGGCTGAGTTATAGCACATTATGTTTATTGGCTGGAAATAAATGTGCCCAGTGCCCACTCCATCGCTGGCTTTGCCAGCCTTGTCTGCTCCCCTTAGATTCCTAAGTGTGCCTTCATAAGATGTATATGGGACTCTGATGCCAAGGTTGCTGTTTTTGTTAATGTTCACTTTCCCACAGCCTGTGGGGTGTAGTGCTACTATGGAATCTCCTTGGAGGAGTGGCTTTGGCTTCAGACCCAGTGTCCTGGAAGTTACTTGGTTTAGCACAGCATTGTTACCTGGTAGATGAGCTGATATGGTTGACCACAGTCTGAAGCCATAGAAATGCTCTATTTTATTATAATCTAGGCCATGAAAGAAATAGAAGATATTGATAATTAGGCCTCTGCCCTGTGCAAGCTGTTTTTCTATGCATTGCAAAAACGCTTGGGTGCTTATGAGGTGTATGGTACTAAGTAGGGATTTCAAAGAAGACTGGGCTTCAAAGGGGTTTGTGATCTGTTGGGAGGTTGAATTAATGCATACTTGGGAAAAGTTCAACAGTGCAAGGTGTTATGTGGTTAAAAAGTGTATCTTTTACTCTGACCACTCTGGCTGGGGATTCTGCTGCCACTTCAGACTCAGCCATGCCTCCATTTCAGTTCCCAGTATCATAGTTTTCCCTTTCAGGGTCAGAACTTGTCGCATCTTTTTTCTCCTCTTCCTCAAATCCATTTGCTCTTGTTTTGTCTCTTGTGTCTGCCCTTCCTTTGCAATTCCTCCTTCAGGCACTCAGACTTCTGCCTCAACTTTCTACAGCTCTGAATTATGGCAGGGGCTCCTCATCTGATCTCCCTGGCTCCACCATCATTTTCTGCAGAACAACACTGTTTCTTTTCTGGTGTAGCACTTCCTGAAATAGATCGGCTTGCCTCAGAAACTGTCAGTAGTTGCCTGTGGCCTGCAGCAGGGGTTTTTTTTTTTTTTTTAACCTAAGGGTCCCTGATTGTAGAGTACATGCCCTCTGAAATTTGATATAAAATGTTGTAAGCACACAGCTTTTACCAGGGTCACCAGCAGTCCCATGAGTCATAAAAGAATGGCTAACTGCAGGTCATGTCCTGCTCTCTGACCTGACTGTCAAGGCCTTCCCTTCCCAGTCTGCCTCTCTTCTCACTGCTTTCTGCCCCAGGCCCTAGTGGTACAGGCCCTACTATTTTCATGTTCTTGACCTCATTAGCTCTACTTGGTGTTTACTGACTCTCACTACCCTACTACATTCATCAATTTAGAAAACAACTTGGTAAATACACTCTCCTGTGAAAATTCCTTCTGCTTTCTTGCCTTAGTTCACCCATTCTCTCTTAATTCTTTCTGATGCTTTCTCTTTGAGTGCCCAGCTGGCAAATCCTAGCACTTCCTTCCTTGGCCGCTTTGTTTGAAAGTGATTTCTTTTCTTCCTAAAGGTATTAAGCTCTCCAGTTTTTGCCATTCATTTGGTACATTGCCTGGAATTGTTAAATACATGCTTAACTCCTTGTATTTAATCTCTTAACAATATATATAACCTTACATATCATAGTAAGGAATTATTTTACAAATTTATCTGAAATTTTTAAAAAGATAAAAATTAAACCTAACATATCCTTTAAGAATTATATTCACTTACTCTTTCCTGATTTCTTGATTAATATTTTTATGTTATCTTCATTGTCAGTTTTATCTTTTTTTTTTTTTTTTTTTTGAGACAGTCTCACTCTGTTGCCCAGGCTAGAGTACAGTGGCACGATCTTGGCTCACTGCAACCTCTACTTCCTGGGTTCAAGTGATTCTTGTGCCTCAGCCTCCTGAATATCTGGGATCATAGGAAGGTGCCACCATACCCAGCTAACGTTTGTATTTTTAGTAGAGACGGGATATTACCATGTTGACCAGGCTGGTCTCAAACTCCTGATCTCAGGTGATCTGCCCCGCCTCCCAATGTGCCGGGATAACAGGCGCTAGCTACTGTGTCTGGCCCATTGGCAGGTGTTTGTTTGTTTGAGATGGAGTCTCACTCTGTCGCCCAGGCTGGAGTTCAGTGGTGCGATGAAACCAGTGTTACAGTGAGACAAAATCACACTACTGGCTGGAGTATAGTAGTTCAATCTTGTCTCACTTCAACATCGGCCTCCCAGGTTCAAGTGATTCTCCTGCCTCAGCTTCCCTAGTAGCTGGGATTACAGGCATGGACCGCCATGCCTGGCTAATTTTTGTATTAGTAGAGATGGGGTATACCATGTTGGCCAGGCTGGTCTCGAACTCCTGGCCTCAAGTGATCCACCCACCTCGGCTTCACAAAATGCTGGATTACAGGCATGAGCCACCAAATCTGGCCCTCTGTCAGTTTTATCTGATAGTAACCTTAATGACTCCTTTATTTTGCAAAATGAGAACATGGACCCTTTGATTATGTTCTCCAGCCCCACCCACAATCAGCTATTTCATATCAAAGATGATAAGAATATAGGCTTCCTCAATTTACTCCAAAATCAGCCGGACACAGTGGCTCACACCTGTAATCCCAGCACTTTGGGAGGCCGAGGTGGGCAGATTGCTCAAGCCCAGGATTTTGAGACCAGTCTGGGTAACATGGTGAAACCCTAGCTCTACAAAAAAACAGTACATAAATTAGCCAGGTGTGTTGGCACACACCTGTAGTCCCAGCTGCTTGGGAGGCTGAGATGGGAGGATCTTGAGCCCTGGAGGTGGCAGTTGCGGTGAGCAGTGATGGTGCCACTGCATTTACTCCAGCCTGAGTGACAATGAGACCCTATCTCAAGAATAAATAAATAAAAATTTACTCCAAAATCAAACCACATGAATTTTCATGTAATATATGCTCATTTGCATTTTATTTATTTATTGAGATGGAGTCTTGCTCTGTCGCCCAGGCTAGAGTGCAGTGGTGCAATCTCTGCTCACTGCAACCTCCACCTCTCAGCTTCAAGCCATTCTCCTGCCTCTGCCTCCCAAAGTGCTGGGATTACAGACACGAGCCACCATGCCTGGCCTACATTAATTTTAAACTGGCATCATTGATCTTGAGTGAAAACTATCCTCCATTTATATATCGTTTTTCAAAAGTGAAGGCTTATTTTTCTTTTTTTTGGATTTTTTTTTGTCAAAAAATACCTATACTATGAAGAAGTCTAATCAGTGTGCTCTTCATGACAAACCATACATATTCACTACTTCAGTATTCTCAGGTAAAATTTATTTTATTGGCCAGGTGTGGTGGCTCATACCTGTAATCCCAGAGCTTTGGGAAGCCAAGGCAAGAGGAAACTTGAGCCCAGGAGTTTGAGACCAGCCTGGGCAATATAGCGAGACCCCATTTCTACAAAAATTTTCAAAATTAGCTGGGCATGATGGAGTGGGCCTCTAGTTCCAGCTACTTGGGAGGCGGACACAGGAAGATTGCTTTAATCCAGAAGGTCAAGGCTGCAGTGAGCTGTGTTTGTGGCCACTGCACTCCAGGTTGGGTGAGGGAACGACTGTCTGAAAAAAATATTATTAGCTTTGCACAGTGGCAGTATTGTAGCCAATGAGGTTTATCCAAGGCACGATTATTGTTAATTGAAAGCTTTTCCCAATACCCCGCCGTGACGACTTGCAATGTAGTCGGCATTGGCAATTTTTGACAGTCTCTACAGAAACCAAATTAAAAAAAAAGAAAAGAAAAAATTATTATTTAATGATTAGAGATAGGGTCAGGCTCTGTCACCTAGGCTGGAGTGCAGAATGACATAATCATAGCTCACTGTAACCTGAAACTCCTGGGTTCTAGTGATCCTGTCACCTCAGCCTCTGGAGTAGCTGGGACTGCTGGTATGTATCATCATACTATAGAGAGTCTCACTATGTTGCCCAGACTGGCCTCAGGCGATCCTCCCGCCTTGGCCTCCCAAAGTACTGAGATTACAGGAGTGAGCCACCATGCCTGGCCTAAATTTGTAATCTGCCTGATACTGATACTTGTATAAAGCAGCTGTTCTGTGGCCTAAGGAAGAGAGCAGAAAATTATCGCTAGATTAAGTGAAAGATTTTATGAGGCTTTCAAACTACAAGAAACAAGTAGCTCTGGTAATTGCCACTCCTTGGCCTGATGTTGTTTTCCTAGCACATTGTAAATATAATCTGATTAGAGCCTGATAGCTCATGCCTGTAATCCCAGCACTGTGGGAGGCCAGGATAAGCAGAACGCTTTAACCCAGGAGTTGGAACCCAACCTTGGCAACATGATGAAACCCCATCTCTACAAAAAATATAAAAATTAGCCAGGTGTGTTGGTGTGCCCCTGTAGCTCCAGCTACTTAGGAGGCTGAGGTGGGAGCATCATTTGGGTTTGGGAGGTTGAGGCTGCAGTGAGCCGAGATCACACCACTGCACTCCAGCCTGGGTGACAGCGAGACCCTGTGTCAAAAAATAAACAAATAAAAGATGGCATTGAGTTTAAGCTACTAGAAAAAGAAAAGTGTCATTTGTCACCTACACTTGAATAGCCAGAGTGGGGAGCAAGCTAGAAGACAGTCTCAAGTACAAGACCAGTGCAAGGAGCCTGCTCCCTAGGAGCCTGGCCCCAGAGCAGAACTCTCCGTGCCTTTGGGAACCTTGCTTCCATGCTGTCAGAGGGAAGGGAAAAATACAGACTCTTGAAACTGTGATGAATTCATTCGATTCCAGCACCATCAATCTCAGTCAGCTTCACTCTTCCTGCTTTCTGTGACATAGACTGTTACTTGTGTTCCTCAGTTCAGCAGTGTCCTTGATTACTGGACCTTTTGCCACAGCCCTACAAAACCCAACCAAACTTGCACCAGACTGATTATCCTGTGTTTCTTTTATTGTTCAGCATCTGCACATTTTTAAATGTTGGCCTGGTTAACTTTCTTGATGTTAACTTTTTGCCTTCCTGAGGATTGAATGTATGAGAATCAGTTACCAGAATGGTTTTGTTTTGCAGGTCACAAGAAGAGAATGCCTTCTAGATGCAAATCACCTCCAAACCAGACCTCCTTTCTTGACTTGCCTTTTTTGGCCATCAGCTGCCTTAAACGTTAACACCACGTTTGAATGCCTTTTTCTACATACAATCCAGTGTGTTTTCCTTCAGCTTTTTTACACTTTGGTGACTTACATGCCTACTTAACTTGAACTGTGTGGACTCCACAAAATGATTATGCACTCTTCTGAGATAGAAGATGCTGTTTCTTCTGAGAGATCCGTTACTCTCTCCTTGGAATCTGTGGATTTGAAGATGGCTCCTGCCTTCTCACATGGAAATCAGTGAAGTGTTTAGAAACTGCTGCAAGACAAACAAGACTCCAGTGGGGTGGTCAGTAGGAGAGCACATTCAGAGGGAACAGCCATCTCGACAGAATCACACCAGACTCTATTTTCAGGATGAATTTCTTATTTCTGCCATCTTTTGGAATAAATATCTTTTTCCTGTCTATGGAAATCTGAGTTCAGTGTTTGTAAAGTTCCTTTTTATAAGCTTTTCTATTGCTACATATGCCTTTAAAAAATAATTTTGTAGTCTAAACATAGGTTAGATATATAAACCCTACCATGTAGTTTGAGATGCCTGAAAAGACTGGTAAGTGCTTTTTTAAAGCATTCAGTAACCATTTAAGTGCCTACTGTAGCCAAGGCACTGGAGAGATCAAAGATGTGTACATTGGAGTCCCTGCAAGTTCACAAGCTATTTGGAGAGGTGTGATTAGTATACATAGAGCTGTATATAAGGCTGTGTTTGAACTTTGTCCTTGAAAGTGGTAACATGGTGAGCAGGTCAAGGATATCTGCTAGCCATAGAACAAGGCAGCAAATGCTGCTGAGATGGAACCATTACAGCCTCAGACACAGGACTAAAGAAGTCAAGAGTGATTAAAAAGCCAGGGGCAGGAGACAATAATTTTGTGTTTCAGTAGCAGGCATCTTGATACACTAATTTGAGGGATTTATTACTTTTAAGAAATTAAAAATTAAAATGAACCTAAATGTTCACCAGCGCATGGTTTTTGACAGCTAGCCAAGAATGGATTTCCTGTTTTTCAGTTTGTACTTTTCTATTCCTCTCAAACTGTCTGAACTCATTACTTTGCTATTCTTATTACCAAAGTGGATTTCAAGTTAAGTGACTCTCCTGCTCTCATTTCTTTTCATTCTTTACTTTTGTTTTGGGCAGTCTGTTAGGCAACTCCATTCTTCATTTTTCCAGCAGGAGGGCCACATTAGCTAATTTCGTGGAATCCATGAAACACTGATGATTTGAAGTTAAAGGGGCCATGGTGATATAGGCTAATCCTATCATTTTTATAGATAAGGAAGCTGAGCCTAGACCGGGAGAATTTCTCACCCAGCTTAATGCAGTTGGTCAGAGGCAGACCGGAGTAGGATCTATGTGTTTGTTTGGTTTTGTTTTTGTTTTTGAGACAGAGTCTCACTCTGTCACCCAGGCTGGAGTGCGGTGGCATAATCTCGGCTCACTGCAACCTCCACCTCCCAGGTTCAAGCAATTCTCCTGCCTCAGCTGAGACTATAGGCACACGCCACCATACCCAGCTAATTTTTGTATTTTTAGTAGAGATGGGGTTTCACCATGTTGGCCAGACTGATCTTGAACTCCTGACCTTGTGATTCACCTGCCTTGGCCTCCCAAACTGCTGAGATTAGAGGTGTGAGCCACCGTGCCTGGCCAGGATCCATGTTTTCTAATTTTCACACTAGAGCTCCTTTCACAGGCTACCTTGCCTCCCTCAGAGTTGTCTTGGCGAGGAGCCAACTCTGGGTCTCTGGTGGGAGGGAAAAATTCTACCATTGCAGATTATCAAGCTGTCTCCTACCAGAACAACATACATGGCCCTTAGTCAGTATTTGTCATCTGAGAAAGTAATGCTGGTGGTTACTGCGGGTACATAAAAGGATGCCACAGTCTGAGCTCTGATGGTGTGAGGAAGTGTGACTCCAGTGCTACTGTGTTCCCAGATTCTACAAGTCAAACTCTGCAGCCTGTCGTCACTGGGGACGAGTCTGACACCTTCCCCACTCCCACCCTAGACTGCTTTCCAGCAGATTACAAGGTTTTTGAAACTGTTTTCCAAGCTGAGCCTCATGGTGACCTTAATGTGGCAGCACTTCCCTTGAGTGTGGCTTTTGTCTATCTTGAGTTCAGTTTATGCATTAGCTGACAGGGAGCCTGCATAAGTTCCGCACAGCAGATCTTAGCTGTGGGGTGCCTTCCACTGTGATGGCGGGTAGCTTTGGGGGTTCTCATTGGTCATCATAGTTTGGCATGTTTCCAATTAAATGGCGCAGTTGAAGGCAGAAGTCATTACCCTGACTGATTCAAGATTATGAGTTCTGTTTTATTCTGTCAGTTGGTAGTAGTCCATTTTTTTAAGAAGCCCCATCTTTCTTTTCTTTCTTTTTTTTTGAGACTTAGTTTTGCTATTTTGCCCAGGCTGGAGGGCAGTGGCATAATCTCAGCTCACTGCAACCTCTGCCTCTCAGGTTCAAGCAATTCTGCCTCAGCCTCCCAAGTAGCTGGGATTACAGTTGCCTGACACCACATCCAACTAATTTTTTGTATTTTTAGTAGAGATAGGGTTTCACCATGTTGGCCAGGCTGGTCTCGATACTCCTCACCTCAGGTGATCCACCCGGCTCAGCCTCCCAAAGTGCTGGAATTACAGGTGTGAACCACCACACCTGGCCAGAAGCTCCACCTTTATTTTCAATAAAAAATTAACAGACTGAATTACTTTTATTACTATGCACATCAAGTTACTGAAATGATGATTTCATATACTAAACCCCTAAAGATCGCACTTGCAGGTACAGAGATACAGAAATGTCTACAGCCCGCAGATGTTTACTTTAAAAGATTCTTCAACAACAGTTTGTTATTGGGTTTCCTCATCTAGCTAAAGATTCTCTAATTCTCCACAATCAAACGGATGTCTATGATTTTGATGACAAAATTTCTAGTGAAGTGATCCACTTGTATGCTTCTGATGTGTCCTAAGTGAGTTAAAGGAGACACTGGGGAGTGAGCTGGATTATGTTACTGGTTTGCTCGTGGGCTTGCTTGCTATTTGGAGGGAGTGGGTTCCTACAGACATGAGTAAGGAAGATCAGGGTGTTGACTGCACTAACAACTGTGGGAAACACGGGAGATGGGAGCACAGAAGGGCGTGGTGCTATGCCAATGAGGTTTTGCTCATCCTCCAGTAGTCCTCCAGGGAAGTAAAAGGCCCTAATAAGGTAGCAGCTCAGGCCTGAACTTACAGGGTTCTCTCCAAACCCTACTGTGACGTAACTCTTAATGAGACCCTGCTGGCCTCAGCATAAAGCAGAGATCACCTTTGCCTATGAAGAAGAAAGGAGCTCATTTCTTAGCCAAATTGTTTGTCAGAGATCTCCCAGAAAAATTGCTTGCAAGCTTCCAAAGGCCAGGTACTGTAACAAGGCCACCACCTAAGTTACCCTACTATGGTTGAAATGAGGAAGGGAATGATGAAATCAGCTCAGGGGTTGTGAGAGGAAACTCACCAAGTTCCCTTTGCCCAGAAAGTCACTACCCTTGAACTCTGGATGTCTCATTTATTAAATTCTTGAGAAAATTCAGTGCTATTAATACATAAATCCAGGTATATGTTCTCTCCTCAGCTCACCCTTAATTATGGAACTATTTTGTTACAACGTGATCATACATCTGAGATGGATGTTTGTGAATCATACTTTCTTAACCATTCCCTTACTCCATTCAGTGTATGTCAGGGCCCAGACTGGAAGGAGCTCCATTTAGCCCTTTCAGAGGTTACTGAAAATGTTCCTGTGTTATATTCCATGTGATGTGGCCTCCTGGGACAATCACTAGACTAGAAGTCCTAGGTTTGCAGTCTTATTCCATCACTAGCTGTGTAATGGGCAAATAATTTCATTTCTGACTCTTGGGTGTTTTCATCTGTGAAATAGGGATCATGCATACCTTTTCTACTACATGAGGTTGTTACAAAATGAGATTTTGGTGGTGAAGATGATTTGTGAATTATCATAATACAAAAGGAGTATTTTCCAAATAAATGACCAATTCCCTAGGGCACACTGATGTTACTTTTCTATTAAGATAGGACCCAGAGGGACAGCCAAGTGATTTTTTTTTCTACATATGATTACACTTTGGGTTTGTTTTGTTTTGTTTGAGACGAAGTTTCACTCTTGTTGCCCAGGCTAGAGTGCAATGGCATGATCTCGGCTCACTGCAACCTCCGCCTCCTGGGTTCAAGCAATTCTCCTGCCTCAGCCTCCCAAGTAGCTGGGATTACAGTTGCTTGCCACCACATCCAACTAACTTTTTGTATTTTTAGTAAAGATGGGGTTTCACCATGTTGGCTAGGCAGGTCTTGAACTCCTGATCTCTGGTAATCCACCTTCCTCGGCCTCCCAAAGTGCTGGGATTATAGACATGAGCCACTGTGCCAGGCCTATGGTTACACTTTTGATTAGTCATTTGTACTTGGAAGTAGGGGTTTACAGAAAAATAAAAGGCACCCTTATCGGGCCCTCAGTCCTGAGTTCAGAGCCTAAGTGGCTGGGCCACACCCTTCCTACCCTTCCATGTTCTCCCAGCTCTTTTTTTTTTTTTTTTGAGACGGAGTTTTGCTCGTTACCAAGGCTGGAGTGCAATGGCGCGATCTCGGCTCACCGCAACCTCCGCCTCCTGGGTTCAGGCAATTCTCCTCCCTCAGCCTCCTGAGTAGCTGGGATTACAGGCACGCACCACCATGCCCAGCTGATTTTTTTGTATTTTTAGTAGAGACAGGGTTTCACCATGTTGACTGGGATGGTCTCGATTTCTTGACCTCGTGATCCACCCGCCTCGGCCTCCCAAAGTGCTGGGATTACAGGCTTGAGCCACTGTGCCCGGCCTCTACCAGCTCTTATACCAGGAAGGAAGTATTTCTGGCATGATTTTGAAGATGAAGGGTGAGGATTGATTGGTTTCTTTTAGCACTGTTTTTGTTGTTTTCTTTAAGCATATAATGATGTCTAGATGTATGTTACTGCCCCAGATTTATATTTTATCTTTTCTTTGATGTTGCTTCAAAAGTTGCACCTTTTTGTTTAGCGCTTTTTTTTTTTAAGCAATGGTAGGTGTTTGGTCATGCTGAAGTAAGTTTAGAATTTGAGAAATGATTTAAAATTGTTGCTAAGACTCATGAAATATTTGGCAAGAGTCAGTTACTCCTTTATTAACATGAATTGTATTTAAAAATATGTGTCTGCACATTTTAGAAGTTTCATACTCCATCCTCTATACAAAAGTTCTTTTCTGTTTGGGAGAACATATGTGTTGAAAATGGAGATGGAGGCCAGACATGGTGGCTCACACCTATAATCCTAGCACTTTGGGAGACTGAGGCAGGCACATCACCTGAGGTTGGGAGTTCAAGACCAGCCTGGCCAATATGATGAAACTCCATCTCTATTAAAAATACAAAAATTAGCCAACTGTGGTTGCAAGTGCCTATAATCCCAGCTACTTGGGAGACTGAGGCAGTTGACTTGCTTAAACCCAGGAGGCAGAGGCTTCAGTGAGCTGAAATTGCTCCACTGCACTCCAGCCTGGGCAACAGAGTGAGACTCCAACTTTAAAAAAAAAAAGACAAAAGAAATGGAGACTAAAGCAAACGTTATGTGTTACTTTTTCCTTGGCCCTTTTATTTCAGTTTTCTCTCAAGAGTTGAGTGGATGAAATTAACTGCAGAAAATTCATACTTTTCAAAGGACAGTAAAACATAAAATATCATTGTAAAGAATACTTAGTACGGTTAACTAGAAATAACCTAATGCTGACATAAGGAGCTGTTTAAATCATGTTGCTGTATACAAATGAAGGAAAATCCATTTTGTTTTCAAAATATATGCCTAGAAAAGAGAAAAGAACAAAATTACTAACATTGCTTGCCTCCAGATGGTAATTACAACTCTTCTTTTTCCTTTCAGCATTTTCTCCAATGAAAATGTAATAGTGTAGTAAAAAGAAACAATATAAGTTATTTAATAGCAAAAGATAATGGTCAGATTATGCTACAAGAAAAGGAAAACAGGATTTTAAACTTCTATGCATAGAAACAGCCTGGTATGAAACAGACCAAGATGTGCAAAGTGATTATTTATTTTACAATGTTGTGTCTTTTCCAAATTTTCCATAAACAACATGTATTACTTTCATAATCAGGAAAAAAAAGTATATTTTTGAGGGCATCATTGTCAGAAGTGTTAGTACTTCCTTCAAACATAATTTAGTGCACACACACACATTTTTTAAAAAGTTATTCAGGGTCGGGGAAATGAAGTTACTTAGATTTATGAAAACACTGAAGTTATTATGAATCAATGAAAATAAGTGAGTTCATACAGAAATTGTGATTGTTTTCATTGTGCAGGACAGAGCACTGATCATTCCATGTATAAGATCCAACCTCCTTTTGTATAGATGCTCACAGTGACAGAATGGGGAAATCAAAGGGGAGCATTGATTTTTATACTTCCCACACAGAAAAGTGGAAGCCTAGGGTATTAATGCTCTGGGGTCCCACCCAGGTTAGAAAAAGCCCAACTGTTCTTCCATGCCTAGCTGCTCCAAGCAAAGCTTTCATTCAGGGTGTCACTACTTCAGTTAGAATTCCATCTCAGTGAAATGTATTGACCCTCTTTTTCCAACTCCCACCGCCTCTGACGCCAACTCCAAAAAAAGGGAGTATTCCAGTAGCTGAAGATGCTCAGCAGCTAATACTGCCACCACCATGAATCCAATCAAGATTCCATATCAGTTTCTGACAGGATATTGACATGGTTTCCATGGTTTCCTTACACTGTCCACAGTGTGGTATTACTGTGGGTTGCCACTCCAGAACAGAACAAGCAGAGCAGATATTTTGTCAAAGTAAGCCTGTTTTGAAGAAGCATGAATTAAGAAGCTAAGTGTGACTTTGTCCAAGCTGCAGACACATTTCAGCAACAGGTTGAAAAGGTAGTTCAGCCAGTTTCAACCAGGTTGCACAGATATTATCAGGTACTGTTTTTGTCTTGATGTTAGCTGCTTGAGCAAAAAGACTCAGCAACCAGACTTCCTACAACCTAGAGTTTAGCAGGGAAGAAAATTAAATAGTAATGATGAATGGTTATTTATGCTACACCATTGCTTCTCAAATGGTAATGTACAGATTGCCTGGGGATTGTATTTTAACAGATTCTGATTAAATCAAGATGGGAGCAATGATTCTGTATTTCCAACAAGCTCCCAGGTGCTGGTGCTTCTGGTGGGTGGACCCCACAAGAGCAAGGTGCTGTATCTTAGGGAAGTACAGATTGCTAGGTAAGAGTGAGCACTAGAAACACTAAATTCCTGGTGGGAAGAAGGGTACTTGAAGGAAATGACCTTTAAGAGTAAACCCCAAGGATGAATAAGAGTTTAGCAGAGAGGGTGGGGTGCAGTGGCTCACACTTGTAATCCCAGCACTTTGGAAGACCAAGGCAGGAGGATCACCTGAGGTCCGGAGTTTGAGACCAGCTTGGCCAACATGGTGAAATCCCATCTCTACTAAAAATACAAAATTAGCCAGGCGTGGTGGTGTGCGCCTATAATCCCAGCTACTTGGAAGGCTGAGGCAAGAGAATCGCTTGAATCTGAGAGGTCACAATGAGCCAAGATCACGCCATTGCACTCTAGCCTGGGCAACAGAGTGAGACTCCGTCTCAAAAAAGGCTTAGCAGAGAGGAGTGGCTGAGGTATTTCCAGTAGACTTGTGAAGTTGTTGCAGGAGTCCAGGAGAGATAGGTGTCCCTGAGTGTGGTAATGGAAATGAATTCAGAGAATAAGCTACATTGGGGTCATAATTATTAGTTCATATACATAAACTTCAGTGAGTGATTGGTTATGTGGGGGGCAGTAAGGAACAGGAAGGAGTTGAGGATTATACCAGGATCCGACTGGGTGATGGAGCCCTTTACTAGGGTGGAGGCACAGGGGATACAATAAGCTTGTTATAGCCCGATGGGTTCTTCTTGCCTGCTGCCCAGAAAAGCCAATGCACTGAGAATGGCCTGAGTGTTGCAGCAGAGAAAGAATTTAATAATCACAATGCCAGCCAAGCATAAGGACTGGAAATCATTCTCAAATCTGCCTCCCCAAGAATTCAGAGGCTAGAGTTTTTAAAGGAAAGTTGGGTGGGCAGGCGGCTAGGGAATGGGGAATACTGATTGAGTTGGGGATGAAATAATAGAGGGTTGAAGCTGTCTTCCTGTACTAAGTCAGTTCCTGGGTGGGGGTCACAAAACCAGTTGGGTCAGTTTCTTGGTTATCAGTTCCCAGCTGGTCCATCAAAATGCACAGTCTGAAAGATAACCTCCAACACCAGTCTTAGGTTTTACAATAGTGATGTTATCTATAGGAGTAACTAGGGAGGTTACAAATCTTGTGACCTCTAGCTACCTGACTCCTGAACCATACTTCTGACCTTGTGGCTAATTTGTTAGTTTTCTGAAGGCAGTTTGGTCCCTGTGTGATGAGGGGGTTAGTATTGGGAAGGAATTCTTATCATCTTTGTTTTAAAGTTAAACATAAACTAAATTTCTCCCATAGTTTTCTTGCCCTACACCCAGAAATGAGCAAATACAGCTTGTGAGGTTAGAAGCAAGATGGAGTCAGCAATGCTGGATATCTGTCACTATCATAATCTTTACAAAGGTGGTTTCAAGCTTAAGGACACCGTGGAGTCTAGTTGTAGACAAAGAGTTGCAGGAAGCTGAGGTGTCCACTGCGGAACACTCCGAGTGGGCAATTGTTATTTGGGCCTTGAGGTTAAGAAGGATCAGACTGGAGGTTAGAATGTGGGCACCAACACAGAGATCATAGAAAATATGGGTGTGCATAAGGGCCAGGAAGAATGTGATAGAGTGAGAGGAGAGGCTGTCAAAGCTGCAGACCTGAGGAGCACCCACTCGTCAGGGGTGGGCAGAGGAAGAGGAGGACTCTGTAAGGGGCAGCCATTGTAAATGGTCCTGGTTTGGATAGCTGTCAGCACCACTCTCACCCCCAGTTTATTAAGTATTTTACATACATTATTCTGGTAAGTAAGTGGGACACATATTGTTCCTCTTTTATAGCTGGAGCAACAGATCAACAGTACAGCAAACCTACTCCCAACAGCTTGGCTGCCTTTCATCTGGTATGTTTACAGGGCCTCCAACCAGCCCTCACTCACCCACAGCTAAGCTGCCCAATTCTGAGATTCTGCTGCTTACAGCTGCAGTTTTTTCTCTCCTGATTTTTCTTCATTGTTATCAGTGCTATGGCTAATAATAATGCCTAACACATAGCAGTTCCACATACAGATTTTTTTTTTTTGTTATTATTATTGAGATAGAGTCTCGCTCTATCACCAGGCTGGAGTGCAGTGATGTGATCCCAGCTCACTGCAACTTTCGTTTTCCAGTTTCAAGCAATTCTCCTGCCTCAGCCTCCCAAGTAGCTGGGACTACAAGCACGCACCACCACTTCCGGCTAATTTTTTGTATTTTTAGTAGAGATGGGGTTTCATCATGTTGGCCAGGATGGTCTCAATCTCCTGACCTCGTGATCTGCCCACCTCTGCCTCCCAAAGTGCTGGGACTACAGGTGTGAGCCACTGCGCCTGGCCTATTATTATTTTTTAAGACAGCATTTTGCTCTGTCACCCAGGCTGGAGTGCAGTGGTGCAATCTCGGCTCACCGCAACCTCTGCCTCCCTGGTTCAAGCAATTCTCCTCCCTCAGCCTCCAGAGTAACTGGGACTACCGGCACGTGCTACCACGCTCGGCTCATTTTTTGTGTTTTAGTAGAGACAAGGTTTCACCGTGTTAGCCATGATGGTCTTCCTCTCCTAACCTCCTGATCCACCTGCCTCAGCCTCCCCAAGTGCTGGGATTACAGGCATGAGCCACTGCACCCAGCTCACAGATGTTATTCTTAATGTTTCACATATGTTAACTTGTTTAATCCTTATAACAACCCTATTAAATACATTTATTATTATCTTCATTTTATAGATGAAGAAATTGAGGTCTAATGTTGCAAGCTGTTGTCAAAAGATAAAGGTATAACAAACTTAGTTTAAAGATTTCAATTGACTTTATCTGCAATTCTAGAATCAGGCAACACTTCATTCCATAAAACTGAGTAAGTCCCAAAGAGCTGAGCTTTACACACAGAGAAGGGCTGAAGAAAGCAGAAGCAAGGAATAGTGTTAGTCACTTTTAGACAGAACAATAGAAATGTAACTGTTTAGTAACATTGGGTTACTTCAGGCTATCTTTTTTATTTAAGGATTAAAGCAGAGGAACTTACCTATCATACTGATTGAAGATTGAAACTGGCCTCTTTGGGAAACTGGTTGTTGTCTGTCTCTCCTATTTCTTGCTAGATCAGAAAACAGTTTAGGTTTGGTGATCTGGAACTTTAACATGGCTGACTCCATTTTTATTTTTAGCTGGTCTGTTGGGGACTAGTGTAGGAGCTTATTCCGAAACAATGGCCTCCTATAATGTTTTATTTAAAACTGATAAGTAGAGGACACACAGGGTTTAAATCCAGGAGACTCCGGCTGGGCACCGTGGCTCACACCTGCAATCCCAGCACTTTGGGAGGCCGAGGCGGGTGGATCACGAGGTCAAGAGATCGAGACCGTCCTGGTCAACATGGTGAAACCCTGTCTCTACTAAAAATACAAAAATTAGCTGGGCATGGTGGCGCGTGCCTGTAATCCCAGCTACTCAGGAGGCTGAGGCAGGAGAATTGCCTGAACCCAGGAGGCGAAGGTTGCGGTGAGCTGAGATCGCGCCATTACACTCCAGCCTGGGTAACAAGAGCGAAACTCCGTCTCAAAAAAATAAATAAATAAAATAAAATAAAAATAAATCCAGGAGACTCCGACTTTAGGGTTCAGGTCTGTCACTGAGGCTCCATGGCATGTTTCTGATGTGAAATTCCTCACCTTACCCACTGTCTTGTAGTCTTAGCTTCTTGACCACACCTTCAACCTTTCAGTGCCTATGGTTCCTCCCAGGTCTGAAAAGTCACATGGTTCTCATAATACCTTCCATTAAGCCAATAGGTTCCTGAAAATGAGGCCAGAGGCCATGTGGAGAATCCTAAACCTACTGCCTGGGCATGGGCAGGGTCCTGTGGTTCTGAATGGCTCAGAATGAATGAATTTCCTCCCATCCCTGGGATCCCAGCTCCCGTCTCCCCCTAGCTCCCCACCCAGACAGCCTTGGAATTACTAATCTCCTGCCTTAGAGGCAGACTATCAGGCCCAAAGGTAGTTCTTTCATTCTCTTTTTTTGTGACACCTCAATGCCCTCAGGCAATAAAAGGGCCTGGCTTGATTTCCCTGAGTTGCCCAAGGGGGCTGGCACCTGCGTTTCTCAGGTAAGGTGCAGCACTACCTGCTCTATGCCAGCGTTTCTGAAGCGCGGCGTCATGGGATTTTCGAGTGTTACACAGCAGGTGCATAGACAGTGCAGGTCCCCGAGAAAGCATCATCCTATCTTACCTCCCTCTGCCTGGAAACTTTCACCCCTCTCAGCTCGACCCCAGGGGCAGGTCCTGGAGGCAGTGTCTCTCCTCCTTCCCTCCAGAGGTGTGCACTCTGCTTCCCACAGCAACCCTTGCTTATCCCCATTATCACAACTGTACAGAACTCTCAGGTCTTTTCCAGGGGCCGCAGAAGCTTTCCTGCACAGGATAACTTGTTTAAGTTTGATCCCTACCATCTTGCACAAAAAGTTGCTAAGTAAATGTTCATTCACTGAAAGTTGGCTTGTAAAAAAACATTTTGTGAGAGATCAGCTTTTTTTTTTTTTTTTTTTTTTTTTTTTGTAATTTTAGTCTCTAGGTATTGAGTTTGCTTAAAGGAAGGTAAAACTGTCTGACCTGGAGCTCTAAGGTCTTAGTGGGTAAATTTCATGTGACAGTCACACAGTGCCCCCTCACTTAGAAGAGCCCTGCACGTGGTTTGATGCTCTGCTCTTGTATTGAAATTCTTAGTAATTTTTTTTATTTTTGAGACAGAGTTTCGCTCTTGTTGCCCAGACTGGAGTGCAATGGTGTGATCTTGGCTCACTGCAACCTCCGCCTGCCAAGTTCAAGCGATTCTCCTGACTCAGCTCCTCAAGTAACTAGGATTACAGGCATGTGCCACCACGCCCTGCTAATTTTGTATTTTTAGTAGAGACGGGGTTTCTCTATGTTGGTAAGGCTGGTGTCAAACTCCCGATCTCAGGTGATCTGCCCACCTCAGCCTCCCAAAGTGCTGGGATTACAGGTGTGAGCCCCTATGCCTGGCCTTGAAATTCTTAGTAATTTTTGAACATGGTCCATGCATTTTCAGTTGTCACTTAGCCCCACAAATTATCCAGCTGGTACCGCATACTAGAGGGAGACCCTCCAGTCAATCAGCAGGTCTGAATTGGGATCTACAACTATCTGTAATCCCTCTGAAAGCACCTGCACCATTAGGGGTGTGTATATTTGTGTGTGTTTTTCTGGAGAGCAAGTCTGTGGCTTTCATCAGACCTGAAGCAAAGCTCCAAGCAGTGGTTATTAATAATAACAATAGCCATCTTTTACCTAGTGCTTATTGTGTGCCAGGCCCTAAGGACATTAGGTAATTGTGATAAGGACAGGAGGCAGGGAAATACCGGGTAGAAGACAGTGGTTCTCTGGCAAAGGCCCCACCCACAAGCCCAGCCCGTGGCCCTAACTGAGAACTTTACATCCCTGTTTTCCCACCTGAGTGTCACTTTTTCCAAAACTACCCCGGCCTGCCAGACCCTCCCATCCTGTACCCATAAGAACCCCAAACTCCACTGGCAGAGAAACAGAGCAGCGTGGCAGAGGAGAGAAGAGAAGAAGCATCTGAATGTCAAAGAGGCAGCTGGTCGCCTGGTTAGTCCCCAGCCAAACTCCAGGTGAAGATCATCTTCCCACTCTATCCCCTTTCCTGCTCCCCATTCCACTGAGAGCCACCTTCATCACTCATTACAACCTCCACATTCACCATCCTTCAAGTCTGTGTGACCTGATTCTTCCTGGATGCTAGATAAGAACCCAGATGCCCAGAGGGCAGGGTGTAAAAGGCCATCACCCCGACTCTCCTCTGAGTTGGTTAACACTTAGCTGTCCATGGGCAGCAGGTGCTAATAGGAGCATTAATTGTAATACACCCCTAGAGGCTACAGTGGGTCCAGAGTCCAAAAGTGCTGGCCCTGGCCACAGCACCTGCTCGCCTGTGTGCTCCCCCTCCTGCAAGGGGTTTGAGTAAGCAAGCCACACCCCTGTTGCAAGTCCCCCAAAGTGAGGCAGGGAACTCTCCTGTCTCAACTGTGATAAGTTCATTATCTAATGCACAGCAAGTCAATACCTCGTGACAGCAGGTTGTAGCAGAGAAACAGGATTAATCACAGGGTCATGAAACGAGATGAGAGGGAACCTTAAATCCATTTCACTGAGGAGTTTGGTGCTAGGATTTCTAAGGGTTTTGGAGTGGGCCAAAGTGTGGAGATGGTTGATGGGTTGAAGAGTGCAGAGTGGGGAGTGGGGCGGGGGGCAAAAAAAAAAAAGAAGACTGCAGAGTGAAGTCATGGGATAGGGAGCTGAAGAAGCTGGATTCTCATGCTGATCCTGTTCCTCTGTGGGAGTCTTCCAACTGGGTACTGGAGGTGGGGTCTAGAAAACATCTTAAGTGAGCTTTAAGCAAAAGGCTTGTAATTCTAATATCAGAGATCCTGTCTATAGGAACAATGGGGATGGAAATCAATTTTTTTTTTCTTAGATGGAGTCTCGCTCTATTGCCCAGGCTGGAGTGCAGTGATGCGATCTCAGCTCACTGCAACCTCCACATCCTGAGTTCAAGTGATTTTCCTACCTCAGCCTCTTGAGTAGCTGGGATTACAGGCACACGCCACCAAACTCGGCTAATTTTTGTATTTTAGTAGAGATGGGGTTTCATCACATTGGCCAGGATGATCTTGATCTCCTGACCTCATGATCCACCCACCTTGGCCTCCCAAAGTGCTGGGATTACAGGTGTGAGCCACCGCGCCCGGCCAGGAAATCAATTCTTAAGTGGTTTCATGACCCTGATGTCAGAAGTCCTGCCTGTAGGAACAACAGGGATGCAAATGATCAGTGTCTAGTGCTCCATGCCTTTTTTTTTTTTTTTATTTTAGATGAAGTTTCACTCTGTTGCCCAGACTGGAGTGCAGTGGTGCAATGCCACCTCCACCTCCCAGGTTCAAGCAATTCTCCTGCTTCAGCCTCCCAAGTAGCAGTGACTACAGGCATGCACCACCACGCCTGGCTAATTTTTGTATTTTTAGTAGAGACAAGGTTTCACCAAGTTGGCCAGGCTGGTTTTGAACTCTTGACTTCAGGTGATTCACCCGCCTCTGCCTCCCAAAATGCTGGGATTACAGGTGTGAGCTGTTGTGCCCGCCCATGCTCCATGATTTTTAGCAACAAGGAAATGGGGGGCCAGAGGGCAGCCTGATGAATGCTTAATTATATTTCTGGGCTGGGCGTGGTGGCTCACGCCTGTAATCCCAGCACTTTGGGAGGTCGAGGTGAGCAGATCACCTGAGGTCAGGAGTTCGAGACCAGCCTGGCCAACATGGAGAAACCCCATCTCTATTTTGAAAAAATTATGTTTCTGTCCAGAACCTGGTATGCAATTCTTGTCAACCCTGCGGGGACAGTTTCAGTTACATTTGTTGCTGTATGCTTCACCAGATTTTAATTGGATTGGGGCAGGGCAGAGAGTAGTATTGCACATTTCCTGTCTTCTGTCTTCTTAATACTTCCAACTCCTCTGTCCTCACCCAGAGAGGAGAAGAAAAAACCACCTACTGGGTCCTCCCTTCTCCCATGGTGCTCACAGGAGACTCAGCCTGTGTCATTACTCTTTTCGTTAGGAGGAGGGGAGAACCACCCCCTACTTTGTCCTAATCCCTACTTCAAGTCCCACCATTACTCCCAATTTTCCCAAAAGTGGTTTCTTCTTTGGCCACACTGTGGAGAGGTGACGGGGTAAGTAAACAAGAGGCCCCCCCTTTTTTTTTTGAGACTATTGTGCACGCTGGAATGCAGCCATGTGACCATAGCTCACTGCAGCCTCAACCTCCCAGGCTCAAGTGATCTTCCCACCTCGGCCTCCCAAGTAGCTGGGACTACAGATATATGCCATCACATCCCACTAATTTTTAATTTTTTTGTACAGACAAGGTCTCATTATGTTGCCCAGGCTGGTCTTGAACTTCTGGCTTCAAGGGACCCTCCCACTTCAGACTTTCAAAGTGTTGGGATTACAGGCGTGTGCCACCGTACTCAGCCTAAGACTGGCTGTCATACTGATGGGTTTTCTGGCATCAGGAAAGAGGCGTAGCCAGCTCACTTGTGACCTGCTGCTGGAATCCCTCTGGCTTTATCTATAGGTAGATACTGAGTTATGGGGACTGAGTAATGAGAAGAAGACTTGGTTCTTCCTCCTGGTACTGCCTCTCTTAACATAGGACAGAAGCTACAGCTGGCATTCAGGTCTGTTGATGTGCTTTGTGTCCCACTGTTGCAGTTCCAGAATGTTGTACCCATTTATTTTACACTTTTCATCTTGGAGTCTGGGCCTTGTGAAAACAAGATGAGAACCCCCAAAAAAAGCTGTTGGGTATAGTCCCAAGTTTTGCTGTCACATGAGGGAACGCTAAGACTTGGTGGATTTGTGGGTTAAAAAAAATACTTTGGATAATAGGATCCCCTAACTTCACCATCAATTCTCTGAATTTTAGCAGCCTCTCTGAACAGTTTACTTTCTTCACTTGGCAATCCAACTTCACTGTGTTAATGGGATTGGGTTATTTGGTCCACGCCTTCATTTGTATTTCAACAAACTATTCTCATGGCTTCTTATCGATCCGTTCCTCCACTTTCTGTTTTTATCATCCTACTTCTGACCTCATCAACAGAACGTCTTATTGTACCTGTCATTTAGGAGTATTTTCTACAACAAATGCTGGATTGTTCTCACTCCTTAGCTTCCTGGTTCACTATCAGTTAGAGTTGCTGATACTACCAGGGTATGTTCAGCTCAGCACTGACAAAATAAAACAAAACAAAAAAGCTATAGGAGCTATTAGTTGTCCTATGAGTTTCTAGTCTTAGTGAAATAGTCAAAACAATTTTGAGAGGAATGCTGCCTTGGAAGATAACAGAATCCTGAAGCCCCTGAGTCTCTGGCTGCTTTCCCTTTGCTGTGCTACTTTCCCTTCTCTGCTGCTTCTCTACTAAGAAGCTTCCAGGCACATTACTCCATGGATTGTGGAGAAGGGGGGGCATCTATTTTTAAATTTTATTTATTTATTTGAGACAGAGTCTTGCTCTGTTGCCCAGACTGGAATACAGTGGTGCAGTCTTGGCTCACTGCAATCTCCGCCTCCTGGGTTCAAGTGATTCTCCTGCCTCAGCCTCCCAAGTAACCAGGATTACAGGCACCTGCCACCACACCCGGCTAAATGTTTGTATTTTTGGTAAAGACAGGGTTTCACCATGTTGGCCAGGCTGGTCTCGAACTCCTGACATCATGATATGCTCGATTCTGCCTCCCAAAGTGCTGGGATTACAGGCATGAGCCTCTGGACCCAGCCTAAATTTTATTTTAAAGAGACAGGGTATCATCATGTTGCTCAGGCTGGTCTTGAACTCCTGGGTCAAGTAATTCTCCTGCCTCAGCCTCCCAAAATGCTGCAATTATAGGTGTAAGCCACCATGCCTAGCTGGGAGGTATCTAGTATGCATCAGGCCCTGCATTTAATCTTCAGAATCAACCTGTGAGGCACATTATCACAGAATTAAGGAACAAACAGGTTAGTTACTTACCCAAGTAAGTTTTTCTAGCAAAAAAGTGGCACTGAAATGCATATGCATCCTGCTCTTCACAAACTTCTTTTTTTTTGAGGCGGAGTTTCGCTCTTGTTACCCAGTCTGGAGTGCAATGGCGCCGCAACCTCCACTTCCTGGGTTCAGGCAATTCTCCTGCCTCAGCCTCCTGAGTAGCTGGGATTACAGGCGTGAGCCACCATGCCCAGCTAATTTTTTGTATTTTTAGTAGAGACGGGGTTTCACCATGTTGACCAGGATAGTCTCATCTCTTGACCTCGTGATCCACCCGCCTCGGCCTCCCAAAGTGCTGGGATTACAGGTGCGTGAGCCACCCCGCCAGGCAACAGAAAGGTTCCACCGAGACTCCTACTCAGATCCCTGGATTCAGAGTCCAGAATGCTCACTATTATTACACCATGGAACCTTTCTTCACAAACTTCTAAGGCCTCCCTTCTGCTAAACTCTACTGTTGAACTGTAGGCTTTCCAGGTCAGTCTTCTCTACTAGGTTCTGAGTTCTTCCAGGGGAAGGACTGTGTCTTCAGTACACATGTTAGGTACTCCACAGAGGTTACAGTTATTTCTCTCCCTTTCCTAATCCCTGCCCATCACTAAACATAGGCTGGAAGATGGTTATCTAATGAAGTGCTTTGCATTCTTTCTTCATCACTCGAAGATTTGTGTTTATGCCCACTGTTTTTTTTTGTTTTTTTTTTTTGAGGCGGAGTTTCGCTCTTGTTACCCAGGCTGGAGTGCAATGGTGCGACCTCAGCTCACCGCAACCTCCACCTCCTGGGTTCAGGCAAGTCTCCTGCCTCAGCCTCCCGAATAGCTGGGACTATAGGTGCGCACCACCATGCCCAGCTAATTTTTGTATTTTTAGTAGAGTCGGGGTTTCACCTTGTTGACCAGGATGGTCTCGATCTCTTGACCTTGTGATCCACCCGCCTCGGTCTACCAAAGTGCTGGGATTATAGGCGTGAGCCACCGCGCCAGGCCTTATGCCCACTTTTTATTGAAGAAGTAATATCAACACACAAGATATGAATAATACAAAGCAGTAAGTACATCAAGTGCTTAGTTCAGTGGTAGAGAAAAGGAGATTAATGAGGGCAGAAATAGACATGGTAGAAATAGATTCCATGAAAGAGGTGAGATCTGGAGCCATGGAGGATGAACAGAATTTAGATATTAATCTGTCCTTTCAGACCACAAACAGACCCCTATGCCATGGCAGGACTGGTGCTGGGGATGTGAAATGGGGTGGGGTGAGGAATCAAGATAAACAAATGAGAGACTAGAGAAGGATATTTGGGACCAATTCTAGTGCTTTCTGTGGAAGTAAGAAACCGAGGCTCAGAGCTGTCATATGAAGAACATTGAGTCCTCTTGAGAGATCATGCAGTGGGAAGAACTGACCTTTCTTCTTCCCCCAAATAATTACTTTATTTTATTTCATTTTTTTAAGATTAGTCAAGTGCAGTAGTGAGGGAAGGGAGCAGAACAAGGAGTTCCATCTGTAACTGACTGTGAACAATTGAGATAACTCACTATCTTTGGACCAGCCCCCTCCTCCGCCAATGTTTTTTTTCTTTGAGACGGAGTTTCACTCTTGTTGCCCAGGGTGGAGTACAATGGTGTGATCTCGACTCACTGTAACCTCTGCCTCCCACGTTCAAGCGATTCTCCTGCCTCAGCCTTCCGGGTAGCTGGGATTACAGGCACCTGTCACCACGCCCAGCTAATTTTTGTATTTTTAGTAGAGATGGGGTTTCATGGCCAGGCGCGGTGTCTCACACTTGTAATCCTAGCACTTTGGGAGGCTGGGGTGGATGGATCACCTGAGGTCAGGAGTTCGAGACCAGCCTGACCATCATGGTGAAACCCCATCTTAAAAAAAAAAAAAGAGAGATGGGGTTTCACCATGTTGGTCAGGCTGGTCTCGAACTCTTGACCTCAAGTGATCCACCCACCTCAGCCTCCCAAAGTGCTGGGATTGTAGGCGTGAGCCACTATGTCCAGTCCCAAATAACTTTTTTTTTGGTAAGATGAATGAAGGATGGATCCCCATTGCCAACCATCAATTAGTATCTGTTTTCAATTCACTCTCTTCAAAACTCCAGTCTTCTCAGAAAGAAAATCAGTTTTTAGTGTCAGAAGGACACAGCTTTTCCTGGAGCTCTTCCAGCTTTGAGTTAATTAATCTCATGTCTAAAGCTGTGAAGTCTTATTTAACAAATTACACAAGCCTAGAGGGGTCTGGAAATAAAACAGTTGGACCTGAAATGATAATACTCTCTTAAAAGATGTCTATGTGAGCAACAGGCATAGCTCAAATCTACTACAATGAAGATTTACACATAGTGCAAATTTATGACCTACAGGTCATATGGAAAGTTAGGACCTACGCCAACCATTTTAATTCTTTCAGGATGTGGGCTCAGTGTTGACGTTAAAAGGATCATAGAGAACACCCAGTTTTAGTCCTGATCTCTTGTGGTGAAGAAACTGGAACTCAGAGGTCACCCTGGATCTTACAGTTAGTGGTAGAGCTCAAATTGGGGTCTTGGCTCCAAAAACAGTTTTCCAAACACATGAAGGTTTGAAGTAGGTAAAATGCCTGCACATACAAAGGATATATCTGGAAGAAGACACAGAATGGGGTTAACTGTGGTTGTTTCTGAGAAAGAAAAATGAGTAGCCAAGAAACAGGAACAGGACAGAGATTTAATTTTCACTGAATACTTTTTTGTACCTTTTGAATTTTGTACCATGGATATATGTTACCTTATTGAAAATTTAAAAAAATTTTTAAGAATTAAATGGAATTCTAAGTATCCATTGCTTTGTTTCTCCGCATCATATTTGTATAAAGCATGTTTTTCTGACTCATGCTATCTCAGTATGTAAATTATTCCACAGGAGCCAGGTTAAACACTTTGGAAGTGGCGATGTCAGTTGGTTACTACTTTGTGGCTAGAACAAAAAGCCAATGCTATTAGAGAGTTCCAACTTCCTGACAACTTTGACTGTGACAGAATCTGGCAGGATAAAACCCAGAGAAACACAAATCAATTCAGAGCCAGTGATTTCATTCACTCCAGAGCAGGATATAGTCATTAACAAACCTTGATGGAAAGGTCTCCTTTTGCCAAAACCTCATCCTTTCCAAGACAACGGAAGAGGGAAAGGTGGGAATCCAATGTAATTTACTAGTAAACACCTTCAGAAGGCAGAGCCTCATGCTAGGAGATAAACCTGGCTGCCCCCTGACCCCAGGGAACTGCCCAGTAGAGATGAACATGCCTGTGTCCAGACAGCAGTGTAACAATGGAAGGGTTGGCCATCTGCTGGAGCTTTTTCAAATATCATATTACAAGAGAGGATGGTTTGTGATGTATTCTGGGGAGATTTAATGCATGAATCTCATGGGAACAAGTCAGGGAACTTGGCTCAAACTTCCCAAGCTAGTTTTTCTCTGTTTCAATTTTAAATTTTCGTTGATGTGGAAAATTAGAATGTGGTATGTATTTGATTTAAAAAAATTATAATCCTGGTACTCACTGTGCAGTAGGGGAAATACTCATTCCTTCATTGGGCATTGAGACCCTACTATGTGGTTGATATTGTGAAGGCTACAGAGGGGAGATCTACACCTTTACTTTCCTCTTAGGTATCTACATATAGCTATCTATCAATTTTGTGTACAAAAGTATTATTTTAGTGGCTGTTAACCTGCTAAAGTCTCTGTACTTGCTAAAGTTATCTGTACTTGCCATTCAGTCCACAGTACATCTTCCAAATGATGCAATTTAATAATTAAACTACTCATTAAGTGAACAGTTAATTCTTTTCTTTTTTAAAATAAAGACGGGGTTTCACCATGTTGGTCAGGCTGGTCTTGAACTCCCGACCTCAGGTTATCTGCCCGCCTTGGCCTCCAAAGTGCTTGAATTACAGGCGTGAGCCACCATGCCCAGCCATGAATAGTTAATTCTTAAACAATTTAATAATTAAACTATTCATTAAGTGCTTAGTATATGCCAGGCACTATGATAAGTGCTTTATATGAATCATTTCACTTAATTCTCACATCATTCCCAAAAGGTACTTACAGAGGAGGAAATTGAGCTTTACAGAGGTTAAGTAATTTGTGCTGCTTTACATGTGGTGAACAAGGATTCAAATCCAGGCTATTCACTGAACCAGTATATAACGACTTTCTATGTACCAGGCATGAAAGGTAGAGGATAAACACAGCCAGTCCCTGCTTTCCTGATGATTATGATCTGTGGCTTTTTGATTCCAAAGTCCATGGTTTTGGCAATGACACTATACTACTTCTCTCAATCTGTGCAAAAGGGAGTACATTTTCAAAGGCAATTCTTCCTAACAGAAAACTGGCACCCTGGGCAGGTGTCTTTATTCTCCAATCTTCCTTTCCCTGTACTTAAAAAATCAAATTTCTGTGTTCAGATCAATTCCGTGCCTTTAAGATGTATAAAAAGCATCTGCAAGAATAGGCTGTGACAAAAGACAAGGGCTCCAGCCCTAGCTAGCTCATTTACTAGCTGCCTGACCTCAGGCAAGTAACTCCTCTCAGCCTCAATTTTCCTGTCTGAAAAATGGATAGATTACTACTGTATGTGTTTGCAGGGAAAACTGAGATGATAAGCCCACCATATAGTTCTCGTTAAAGGGACGCTGTGTCACGGAGTCTTGTTTGTCTAGGTGCTTCTGTAACAGTGACATTGCTTGTACAGTCGTATTTGTGCACTTTAAAAGTGTATGCAGTCTAATTGATCCCTGTGTCTCGGAATACGTGCTAAATATTGAGTTGGTGAATGAATGAACGAACGACAAAAGGCAAGGTTTGTTTCTAATTAAGACGTTCAGATGCGGAGGTCGTCCATTACCCAGGACATCGATATAATCCCCCAGCTAATCAAGTTAGTCACTTCAAGTTTCAGTGAACCTAAACTACAAAATGGGCAAATGAACACCTCGTGCCTCACAGCGCATTTTGAGATTTGATAAAACGCTGGATTTGAAGCCTTTGTAAAAGGAACATCCTCTCCCAACCCGGGCCTGCTGCCGAGTATCGGAGACAGCCCACGCCCACACTGCAAAGACCGGCGCCGAGCCCCCGCTCCGCCCTCTCTTCCTGGTTTTTTCAGGTAACCCGCCCCTCCGGCGACACGTGACAGGGGTGCCCCGCTGCACCCAGTCCCTGATTGGCCGGGCTGCGGAACGCCTCGCGATTGGCCCGAAACCGGCGGGCCCCCGCCTCCCTCCTCCTCCTCGCCGCGGCCCACGTGAGGGGGGCGAGTCACGCGATTTCCGGGAACCCGTCAGGAAGGACATAAACAAAACAAACCCGAGGCAGCATGGAGAGGGGCCGTGGCCCCTGCAGCGGAACCGGACCGAGTCCCTGAGCCGCTCCTACACCCACAGGTGAGCGCCGTCGCCCGCTGCCAGGAGTCCCCAGGGGCCTGGGCTTAGGGGACGAGCGGAGCGGGGGACGGAGGGCCGCTTGCCTAGGAGGCAGCAGCGCCGGGGCTCTGGGCCGGGCCGGCGCGGGGCGGGGGCCGGGACCACTGCCGAGTGCGAGGGCGCGCGGGTCGCGGGCCACCGCCTGCAGGTCTCGGGGGGCTTCACTCCCCTCCCCCACTCCCGGCCCGGGACGGTTACGTAAAAGCGCGGGGCAGCGGTAGGTGGGACTCGCGGGCAGGCAGCAGACTAGGCCGAGGGTGGGCAGCGCCGGGCGTCCGGCTGGCCGGGCCGCCCGGCCCTTCCCCGCTGCCTCGGAGCCCCGGGCCGCTGCTGCCGGCAGTCGGCCTGTCAGAGAAGAGAGCGGGTGGGAGGGGCCCAGGAAGGGAGGGGAGGCGAAGCTGGCGGGGGAGGAGGGGAGAGAGGGGCGTGTGAGGAAGGGCCGGGGCCGCGGAGGTTGGAGCCAGGCTGGCAGGAGACTAGGAGGCGCGGGCTGCAGCTAGGTGGGGTCCGAACAGGGGTGTCTCGGGGGTAGCCGCTCCCCCTTCTGTCCCCGCCTCAGAAGCGACGGGCGAGAGGGGCCTCCCTCCCGGGATTTGTTTATATGTCTTCTCAAAGCAGCTTGAAGCGGCTTAGGGGCGGAGCCCTCAGAGCTGAGTGGCAGGCTCTGCTGTCCAATGAAGCAGGCGGACGGAGACCACTGCACCAATGGGCTCGGGGGAGGCGGTGCCGTGGCCCCCCTGCCCCCAGTTAGGCTGTGCCGGAGGTGGGCCGGGCGGGGCGGCCATGTTAGATGGGAGGGGACCAGTGGTGGTGGGTCACTGAGAAGGGAGGAGACAGGGCAAAGGGCGAGGGAGCCGGGCCGGGGGTGTTTCGGGTGTCCGAAGGCGAGTCCGATCGGACCAGGAAGTAGCTCAGGGGAGCCTGACCCCGACTCGCCTTTTTCCTCACACGAGCTGAGGAGGCAGGGAAGTACCGAGGGTAGTCAAGCCTCCCCTGGGGGTGGTTCCTGGGACTAGATGGAGCTCAGTCTCTGGATTCTCCCTCTTTCTCGGCCCTACGCTTCCTGACAAACCTGGCCGCCAAACCCTGTAATCGCCCTCCTTTAACCCAAGAAAGCAAATCTTTCTGCTGTTTCTGAGCTGGCTTGAGCCTTAAGACTACCTTAAGGAGGTACTTGGATAACTAGCGGTCTGAATTTCTGTACCAGGCCTGAGATAAGAGACAGGCAGTGAAGGGGAAGTTTTGCTTTTCTGAATTTTGTAAAAGAAAACGGGACTAGAAAAGCCGAGAAAGTTGAGGGCTGGGCGGGATTTCTGTTTTTTTTTTTTTTTTTTTTTTCCAGTCAGGATGCCTTTTAAAGATTAGGCCCGGTGCTTGTCCTAGTCTTACTAGTAATTTGCCCGTCTTGTTCACATGAGTTGGTAGCCCACATTAATTAGCTTCTTGAGAAAAAACTGAGCCCAGAGAGTTATTTAGGTTCGAAGGTTCTTTAGGACTTTCTCCAGTGAATATCTTGCAGGTGAAAAATAGGATCAAGGCCTGGCATTTCTTTTTTTAAAAAAGCAGAAAACGAGACTTCAGTATAAATCTGGTAATCTGTCATAAACTGGTTGTCACTTGATTGAACTTTTAAATATCTTTAATCTTTTAATCCAAAATAGCTAGGATATACACCAGAGGCAGGGGAAAATGGTATGAATGATTCGAAATCACTTATTCTGTTCCAATTGTATCATGATTTTTTTCCTTTTGGCCTTGTTAAATACTTAATTTAGATTTGTGTTAACATTGGATTACAACCTGTGGCTACATTGGTGTTGTCAAGGGTACCAAGCTATTGTTGCATCTTTGGTTAAGCACTTAGGTGTAGGAACATGCCTTAGATAGATCTTGCAGGGGCTAATGAAGAGTTAGCTGTATTAAGAATTTGAATTATCTTTTATTTTATTAGCTGGAGAAAAAGAGTAATTGGCAAACGATTCATCATTTTTTTTTTTTTTTGAGATGGAGTCTCCTTCTGTCACCCAGGCTGAAATGCAGTGGTAAGATCTTGGCTCACTGCAGCTTCCACCTCCCAGGTTCAAGCAATTCTCTGCCTCAGCCTCCCGAGTAACTGAGATGACAGGCGTCTGCCACCACACCTGGCTAATTTTTGTATTTTAATAGAGACGGGGTTTCACTGTGTTGGCCAGGCTGGTCTCGAACTTCTAGCCTCTGGTGATTCACCTACTTTGTCCTCCCAAAGTGCTGGGATTATAGGAGTGAGCCACTTTACCTGGCCTGATTGATCAATTTAGTACTTTGGCATGACTGACTCAGTTCTATTAATAATGATACATAAAAACATAATCCCTGATTATTTGATAAACTTGAGTTCTTAAGTATAATTTTTGCAGTAAAAAATAGTATTAGTTTATCAGTTTTTATTTTTCTTTCTTTTTTTTTTTTGAGACAGAATTTTGCTCTTGTTACCCAGGCTGGACTGCAGTGTCACGATCTCAGCTCACTGCAATCTCTGTGTCCTGGGTTCAAGCAATTCTCCTGGTTGACCCTCCCAAGTAGCTGGGATTACAGGCATCTACCACCATGCCCGGCTAATTTTTGTATTTTTAGTACAGATGGGGTTTCACCATATTGGCCAGGCTGGTCTTGAACTCCTGACCTCAGATTATCTGCCTGCCCTGGTCTCCCAAAGTGCTGGGATTACAGGCATGAGCCACTGCATCCAGCCTATCAGTTCTAATTGTATCGGATGGCGCTGCATTGCTCTTGAAACCATAGCCCTTCATAATGCCATAATTAGTTTCAGAGAAGTATAGTGAAAATTAAAAACTTTTCATTGATACCTAGAATATTCCAGGCACTTTTCAGTGTTGCATCGATTGATAAAGTCAATCAATTAGCATTGCTTATATAATGTTCTCTTATTCTAAGAATGGCAAATAGATTAAATAGAACTTATTTGGGTATAATTCTTTCATATGACTGGTAGATCAGCTTTGAGATTTTTAGATTCCTAAACATAAGGTGGCTAAATACCTCCAGAAGAGAGTCTGGATGCTCCATTTACTATCTCATTCTCTGTCATGTCAGGTGAAAGCAAGCTTTTTTATAAAGACAATGTTCTACTTACTTTACTGGGTGGATGGGTGGGTTCTCAAACATCAGTGTAAGAAGTAAAGGAATAACTAACATGATTCCTGGTGGTGGTTACTGAATACAAGTGACAATGAAGTACAGTGAGTTTGTGTGTTGGTTCTATTAATGTAGCTCAGCTTTTTTTTTTTTTTTTTTTGAGATGGAGTTTCACTGTTGTTACCCAGACTGGAGTGCAATGGCAGAATCTCGGCTCACCGCAACCTCCACCTCCTGGGTTCAAGCAATTCTCCTGCCTCAGCCTCTCAAGTAGCTGGGACTACAGGCACGCACCACCATGTCTAGCTAATTTTTTTTTTTTTTGTATTTTTAGTAGAGATGGGGTTCACCTTGTTGACCAGGATGGTCTCGATCTCTTGACCTCGTGATCCACCCACCTTGGCCTCCCAAAGTGCTGGGATTATAGGCGTGAGCCACTGCGCCCAGCCTAGTTTTCTTTTCTTTCTTTCTTTTTTTTTTTTTTGAGACAGAGTTTTACTCTTGTTGCCCAGGATGTAGTGCAATGGCGTGATCTCGGCTCACTGAAACCTCCGCCTCCTTGGTTCAGGAGATTCTCCTGCCTCAGCCACTTCCCTAGTCGCTGGGATTAAAAGGCGTGTGCCACCACGCCTGGCTAATTCTGTATTTTTATTTTTATTTTATTTTATTTTATTTTATTTATTTATTTATTTATTTATTTATTTATTTATTTTGAGATGGAGTTTCGCTCTTGTTACCCAGGCTGGAGTGCAATGGCGCGATTTCGGCTCACCGCAACCTCTGCCTCCTGGGTTCAGGCAATTCTCCTGCCTCAGCCTCCTGAGTAGCTGGGATTACAGGCACGCGCCACCGTGCCCAGCTAATTTTTTGTATATTTAGTAGAGACGGGGTTTCACCATGTTGACCAGGATAGTCTCGATCTCTTGACCTCGTGATTCACCCACCTCGGCCTCCCAAAGTGCTGGGATTACAGGCGTGAGCCACCGCGCCCGGCCTTAATTTTGTATTTTTAGTAGAGATGGGTTTTCTCCATGTTGGTCAGGCTGGTCTCAAACTCCTGACTTCAGGTCATCTGCCTGCCTCGGTCTCCCAAAGTGTTGGGATTACAGGCATAACCCACTGCGTTTGGCCTTGTAGTTCAGTTTTTAAAAGATGAAGAGAACTAAATTCACTGGCTTTTAATTTTTGGTCAAGATTGGCATTTATATGTTTATTAAAAAAATACATATATGCTCCGTTTCCTGGGTTCAAGCGATTCTCCTGCCTCAGCCTAACAAGTAGCTGAGATTACAGGCATGTACCAGTATGCCCAGCTAATTTTTTGTATTTTCAGTAGAGACAGGGTTTCACCAATTTGGCCAGGCTGGTTTTGAACTCCTGATCTTAAATGATCTGCCTGGGTCGACCTTCCAAAGTGCTAGGATTACAGGTGTGAGCCACCGCGTCCTGCCAATTATGTGATTTTGAAATGAATTAGCAGTGACTTGTTTCTATGTAGGTTTGAACTTGGACTTTTTTCGAGGACAATTCACTGACACTTTTACCGTATTCAGTAGCTAATTTCGGGATAGGTAAACTCTTAGACTAGACATAAATTTGTCAGATAATTAGTTCTGATTATTTTAAAACAGGGGTTGGCAGACTTTTATTTCTGTATTGGATCAAATAGTTAATATTGAGACTTTTTCAGCCATATAGTCTTTGCCACTACTACTCAACTTTGCAATCTGTAGCATGAAAACAGCTGTAGAAAATAAATGTTTCTACATATTTTTGGGCTGTATTTCAATAAAAGTTTATTTACAAGAACAGGCTGTGCCTCTATT